CTTCATTTATCTATTGCCTTTTATTAAGGCAATATAGGTTAAGTCAGGAAGTTCTAATTAAACCAAAGGAAAACAGCTGCATACACTTCAGGAATTGTCTGTGAGCCACATTTCAAACAGGCCTTCGATTCTCTGCGGGCTTGGTCTGCCCAGGATACTGTTTATTTCACTTGTATTGGACCAGTAAGACACTTGTCAGTCTTCAAAGTGCTAAACTATAAGCAAACCTGAAAATGGGATTTTCAATCCTTTTACTTAATTTAAGCAATAGTTCTGTCTTTAAGGCTTTATTCGTTCAGCATCCTTAACCAAAGATGACAAGATGAAAGAGGAGGCCACAGCTGGCAAGGAAAAATTGCAATAGCACAGATGTTGACGTCTCTGATAAGCAACACATCAGTTTTCTCCTCTCTGTCTTTTTCTCCTTGAGATTCTGTTTTCTGTCTGGACAGCTACTCCTCGCCACACAACAGGAAAGTTTCATTAGTTCTTCAACTCAAGGCTTTCTTCAACTACATAATGTGGCTTTGAAGTGTAATAAATATTAAATAAATCTTTTCAGCAGAAAAAAAATAGCAACAACAAAGCTAAACAAAAAAAACAACAAACACAAAATAGCTTAAAAAAATCAGGAATAAAATAAAAAGAAGGAAAAGATAGAAATGGAGTTTAGGAGCTAAGTATGTAAAGAACTGTCATACAAAGCTTGCTCCTTTTCAGACAAATAGGGTGCAATGCCAGCTATATTTCCTTCTTGCTTCTGAACTTAATTTTCCCACAGTTTTTTGTTACAAGCCGAGTACGTAATATCTCTGAGCTGGGAATTCTTATTGCCCATTTTAATAGCACCCAGTGGAAGAGGTCCCTGCACTTTGACCAAGGCATTGTAATTCAAATTAATAAAATATTGTGAGGCAAAATTGCTTTTCCAAGAGACTACCATTCAGGGTCACATAAAACCGCATCAGTGTGTCGGGGTTAAACCTACAGCCTCAGTGCTAATAACTAGAGAACAAATAATTTTCCACTAATTTTTCTCATTAATTATAATTTGAGAGTTGGCATCTTGCCTTTCATCATGACAATCCTTTTCCTAAGCCACTAACATTTGGTTCCAGAGGGCACTTGGTACAAGTTAAACATGATATGAAAAAAGGGGCCTTAACTATAATCCCTGCTGTAGCAACAGAAATGACAAAAAAGCCAGCCAGCTGTGATTTGTGATGTATATGGATGAGCTGGTAGCAAAGACTGGCTCTGCAATATGGAAACATATGCTACAAAGAAAGAAGGAATTATTTCAAATATTTAGAAACCATTCAGTTTAGAATTTGGCTGTGAAGCATCTTTGCTATTTAATATTCCACATCAACAGTTTCTGTTTAGCATCTAAACAAGAGTACAGGATATTCATGTAGATATTTTATCCTTACAGGAAAACCACAGAGTATGGGGAGATCCACGAGCTTACAACAGAAGAACAGTTTGTAGAAGGAGTATACAGGATTGAGTTTGACACCAGCTCTTACTGGAAGGGACTCGGCCTTTCTCCTTTCCATGAATACGCTGATGTAAGTATCTGCAAATATATCTAACAATGCACATGCTTTGTACTGGCATCAGCTGGAAAGAACAAATACAGTGTTTTACTACTGAAGGAGCAGCACCATTCAATGAAATGGGTCACTACCACTTAACATTGGGCAAATAGTCAGTATATAGCCAGCTAAGCCAAAAGAAGTAGCCAACTTCCCTGTAAATACTGACACAGCTCAAAGTGGAGCTGTGCCCATTCACCCATTCAGACCAGTACGGACCTTTGTTCAAAAAGGGCTACATTATTCAAATTACAGTATTTTAAAAAGAAACAAGGAAAAAAAAAAAAGGCTAATGAAAAAAAAATGCTGAAGGAATATAGGAATTTGGAAACCCTAATCTTATAGGAAAAAACTATTCTTCATTCAGAGATTTTTTCCCCATATCAGTTACCTGCAAATCCCTGAATTCTGGCATGACCTGTAATTACAGGGGAAAATAAATTGTTCTGCTGTGCCTTTATAAAAAAATCATGCTCAGTATTGAAATATGCATTAGAAAAAAAAAAGGCATAAAATTATAAAGAAATAACCATAGTGGTAAAGGAATCCATACTCAGATTTTACAAACCATGCAGCAAAATAATTATGCCTTGTGCCTCCCTTTGCTTTCAGCCCTACACTGATTTATTTTGTACCCTATTCAACTACACTTACTTAGCACTTCCAAAATACTTGTTTAAATTCTTCAGGCTTAATTTGCCATTAAATTTCAGTTTCCCCAAACTAAGTAGTCTGGAACTACTTAGGTTAAACAAACAATCCTCAAAATTATTCCCTAACCATTTGGTTGTCTAAAAGTTTCTGGGGACTACGGAGGGGCTTATTTTTTTTGCATAATAGCACCAGGTTGAGACTGTTCCAGCTATGGTATTTAAGTAGCTTTTCTTTGTCATAATAGCTTGTAGGTCAACAAATTAAGACTGGGAAGCAGGCAGAATTCAATGAGTGGCTGAGTACAAGACAACTGAAGGCTACAGTCCTCATGTCCCAGAATCTTAGACTTCAATAGGACCAGGATGTAGGCGGAAAGTCTATAGTCCTCTTATAGAAAGTACAGTTCAGAAAAAATAGCTCAAATATTAGGCTAAAGAAAGCCAAATAAAGTGGGAGCTTAAGTCAGGTGACAACACTTTCCTGAAAAATGAGTATCCCAAATTCTGGGGACTGATTTGGAAAGCAGCAAATTTGAACCATCTTAGGACAAGGATCTCTCCTTTTTCTGGCAAGTCTAGCTACTCAGATATTAATGCAAGAACTGACCCACCACCAAAAATAGGAGTGAGGCATTGAAATACAGAAAGCAACTTTGGGCTCCAACTGCCTACCTTGCTTGGACACCTCTCACAGAGGTTGTATTTAAGTTCACTAGATAGGATTTCACCTCTGTCTTCTTATCAGTTGTTTGAGATACCTCCTCCTCATCCTCCTAATGTACTTCACAAAGTAGTTTTCCTCACTCAGGTGTAGGTATCTCCACCTAGGTTCACCACAGCACTTTGTGGACTTTGGTCTAAATCTCATAGTTTCTCAGTCTTCAGCATCACAAAGTAACAAGGAACATTACTCTTGAGAAGAGGAAAATCATTCACTGGACAAAACTGGCGAAGTCTTCTGCAGAGGAAATGGAGCGTGCTTCCTAATTCTAAATAAGGTAGTCTCAAATATACATTGTTCATCATGATCATAAGTTTTCTCTTTTCCAGGTGGTGTTCACTGCTAATGATTCCGGTCACCGCCACTATACCATTGCTGCCCTCCTCAGTCCTTTCTCTTACTCAACCACTGCTGTTGTCAGTGATCCCAAGGAATAAGCATGTATGTGTTGTTATACAAACACCCTCCTCTGCGAGAACTATAGTAGGCTTTTAGGAGGAAGGTTTTTCCTACTGCTAATGCATAACTTTTTGCTACATTAGTGTGGTGTTTTTTTTTTTCCATTTTGTAACCTGGCAAACTTCAGTCAAGTCAATAAAATGTTACTTTAAAACAGTTTTGATTCTACTGATGAAGTTTTATTGTGTCCTAAGGTGTCATGATTTCCTTTTAAGTGCAAAGGACATCTGGAAAACATGCCTGGCATGGCACTTGATATGTTCTGTTATCTATCTCCACTACCTTAAAAAGCCTCACCAAATGCATTGGGCTCAAAATAACAAAATTATAGAGTTGTGCTACCTTTAAAAATATGACCAAACACATTACTGAAATCATGCCACTCAGAAACCATCAGCATTCATCTGCCACCAACCTTGAAATTTATCTCTACGCACCAAGCTTGCTGGGATGACTGCATCCCAAGTGAATTCACAAGTTTCAAAAGCCAGCCTTTAATGTTTCACTATTTGGTTAGTTTTTTTCCTGATTTCTGGACACTACCATAGTTACACAACACTTGTAAGCAGTGCAAAAATAGTATAAACATAGCACCTGTCTTAAAGCATGCAGATTTCATGGGATCCTACTATTCCTGGACCTTGAAAACTAGTAGTTTTGATTTGCAGAGGGCTATACCAAGCCCTCAAAATAGGACAGAAATATGTTCATACAGGTGTAGTTATTAAAAAAACCTGAAACAAACTACAAACCAGAAACTACTCTGCATTTTGTCATCCATCTGGTGACAGGATAAACCTAGTAAGAGAGCGTGCATACACGTCTAACCCAAGATCAGAAAGATAATGTTTAATTTAAAGAAGTAACATCTCCCTAAAATGAAGCTGATCCTTCTGGTCAGAGCTGAATCTTGCAGTTGTACAGGGAAAGTCCTGAATTTGTACTTAATCTAACGGACAAATAAGTGATAGGGCTTACAACACTGCTTACCTGTGCTTCAGAAATGGGTGTGTAGGTATCTGGTCATCATACTGGAAACCAAGAGTAACATTTTTCCTCCAGGAGAAGGCATAAGATAACTAGACAGCCCACACATCAAGCCCCTATCTCTTTCTCACAGGTGAGAAATCTCTTAATAGATAGAAATGGGTAAGTCAATTATGCCAAGCCATAACCACAGAGAAATTCTCACTGAAACTGGGATTACTGACTTGACAAGAAATTTGTTCTCAACTATAGGAGATCTGCATTACACTATTCCTCAATAAAAAGAAAAAAATAAAACAGAATAGACATTCTTTCCAAGAAAACAGGTCACTGCTGTGGAGCTAGGCAATATTAACTATTTCCACAGGCAATGATAGAAGATACTTATTTTTGCAGACAAGGGTCATGTTTGTATGGGTTACTAATTTTCTCATTGTTTACCAAGTAAATAGCATGAATCGGCATGTTGAAAGTTCTGTGGATTTTCTGATAAGTAACTGCAGTTCAGAGGTCTTGATATAAAAATCACAGATTCCATCAGTTTCTACTTGCTGACACTGAGACTTTCTAGTGGTAGGCAAAATGGCTTTTCATTCTGTACTTCTTGTTTTCTTAGCTGGCCTGGCATTTTTCTCCGAAGCTACACCATCGGTAAGTGTCTCAGGGTGGAGGTTCCTTAGTAGTCCCAGCTTTTTCTTTTTTTTCTTTTTTTTTCTCTTTTTTTTTTTCTTTATCCTTCAATTAGTGTAAGTGAAAAATAGAGGATTACATTATGTTGGAATTATTTTTATTATATGGTATGTATTGACAATAGTTATCTCCTACTGCTCTTTCTCTACTTTTTCTCCTTCTCTCAGGATTAGCGAGAGGTCTTTACAGTTAGAAAAGCAGCACTTAGCATTACTCAGTGGCTATATGAAAAACAAAGTAAAATAAGAAAGGGAAAAAATAGCATATTCACTACAAAAAAAGACTTGGGCCTGTTATAAAGTAACTGAAAGTCCTTATAACACAACGAACAATCATGAGGTATTTTGTTTCCTGTTGTGAGATCCATTCTGAAGAAATGCCTTCTCTAGTCTTTTCCCTTACTGAGCTACTGAACACAGCTCAGTCCTGCAGCAAGCAGGAACAATATTTAATGTAAGCAAAGAACAGAGCCAAAGCCGGGATCCACTTCCAGAAGGCTCATTTATTGCAGCAAAGCAAGCCAGAGATGCAGGAGCTTCAGCCTGAAATTCTCCAAGAACAGACCTGTCTCTTTTTTCACCCCTACTCATTCTTCCTCTCAAGCTCTGTTCTTTGGGAAAATTAATACCTGACCAACCTTTGTGAGGAAGCAGACTTTAATTGAACTCCCATAGTGCAAAAGCCAGGATCACACGTGGTGGCAATAGGCTCAACGCCCTGCCAAGGCCTCAGAAGAAATGCTAGTGAAGAGTATCTGCTCTCTAGAAAGGGAGCCTGACCACACAGGTGGTATAGAAGCATCCTGACACATTGGTCTAATATAGGGCAGGGTTCCTGGATGATGGAATTTTCAGTATGTCCCAGACTGTAGGAGGGGATGTAAGACAGGGTTCTTAGTTTTTACCATCAACATCGTTATTCAGTTTGCAATGATTAAATGGAGATCAATTATTGCTATTTTGAGATCAACCCCAATTAGCACCTTTCACAAAGCTCAATTTTCTCACTTCTCATCTACAGAATTAGGCAATAGAAGATCAAGGCCCTGACACAACTCTGCCTTTGAATAGGTAAAATATCAGGGCATGACCACTGCTTGTGATGAACATGCCAGGAGTGAACCACAGCCATCCTATCTTTGAAAGGTTTTCCTCTCCTATCCCTGCATAGCTGCCAGGGGCTGACAAATCTGATCCACTATAGTGTTAGGAGAGAGTCTGTGTCTAGTAATTATAATGTTTACAGCAGAATTATAAGAAGTCTATGGCAACAAGATATCAGAGACTCTCAAATAAAGAAAGCCATGCTCCTAAATACAAAGGAAGACTTTGCCAGATTTTTAAACATTCCTACTACCTTTGATAATTTTTTTCTGTTGAGATCACAAGCTTGTTACAACTTCATGCTGGAGATGATGTGTAGCTAAGCCATGTCACAGAGAAAACAGAAATGTGTTCTCACACACAGGCACAGCACCTCCTCAGTGCACACAGCTACACTCCTCCTGACAGCTCCTGATAGCTTCCTACCTGCTTCCACCATATAAAAGCCCCCAGAAAGCTTCAGGCTACCTTTCTGCAGGACAGAGTGATGGTGTTGAGGAAAATATGGTATATTCTGGAGACGTAAAGAACAATATACCTTACTGCTTTTATTATGCACCATCACATACCTTTCTTACAACATAAAATTTCTCTTCCTATCTGAAGGACTCTCCTGACTCCAAGCATCCTCTTGTTATAAAAGTTCTGGATTCAGTCCGAGGAAGTCCAGCTCCAAATGTTCCAGTTAAGCTATATAAAGAAGCTTCAGATGGATCTTGGGACCTGTTAAATACAATGTAAGTCTTATCAAAATAATGAGTGAAAGAAGGGAAAGGCACTGGGAAGAGGCCAAAAAGTGGAAAAAACAGTTTTGTATTCTCTAACATGTTTTTTTTTAGTCAGAGGAAAGGTAACACACTACTGAATGAATTTGCTGCAGACTGTCTTTTAACTGTACTATAGTTTCAACTACCAGAAGGATTTATAATGGTTTATAAGTATTTTTAACTATATTTAATTCAATCATCGCTTCTCTTAAATTTCATTACAAAGGATTATATTACTTTTTAGTACCCAGCAATGAATTGCTGCATTGTTACCCCAAGATTCAGACAGACTGTTTTTAGTTTGTTTGCAGCCAAGACACTGGTTGAGAATCCTGCCCTTATTGGCTATTCTCCTTCTTTCTAAATGGATTTTCATTTCATTCAAACACCACAGCTTTAAAAAGAAAACACAGAAATGTTTTGAACACTTACCATATGATATTTGATAGCATTCTTTGCTTTAAGTCTCAACTGAAAGGAGAAAATTTGGGGATAAAGCTTTATCACCTACTCCTCCAGAGAGAAATAATTATATCTAAAATAAGAAAAATATCTTCCAGATATTTAAATGTTGCCAAGTCTTTTTTTTAAAAAAAATAATGTAGAATTTAATGGATAGATTATTTTTTTGAAATTGCCCTCAATTATAGTATATGCTAACACTTTAAAAACTCAAAATCTATTTTTAGTTAAAGTATAACCTGAAATGAAATTGAAGAAAAATTCTTAGGGGGTACAGAGAATCAATATTCTATATTCAACAAACAACTTTCCACTTCCACACTTCTCTCAAAACAGTTACAAAGTGTCACCTGAGACCTTTCCAGGTCTGTTAATAGTCTATACTACTTTTAAAAAGTGATACAGGGTTCATAAGGGCTAAAGCTGACGTAGTGCAGGAATTTCAGTAGTGAGAACCCACACTCAGTGGCATTTCCAGAAAGTCCATAAGAAATTATATGTAAGTGGACCTTTGGTGTAATAAAGCAGGGAGCTGGCAGAAGCGAGAGTGTTCTCCTATGTGTTCTTGAAAAATACAGCTACAGTGAAGGCCACACTTATTTGTACAAGGTGGGGAAGAACAATCTATTTGTGTTGTCCTACTTAAATTGCCTCCTACCCCTCAAGTGAGAAGATAGCTTCACACATACTCTGTCCATGGAAACGTGTGAAATTTTCCATTAAGAGGGTGTTCAATTTACCTATTTTCAAATCTGAGCTTAGAGGCTTTATATAAAGATACTCAGATGGATAGTGAGATGTTGACTTAAGCCTTAAAAACAAAATTAACTTCTGAAAAAAAGAACAAATTAATGTAAGAGCAGGTACGGGGAAAGTAATGAAACTACTAAATCAGCCAACCTCTGCAGCCTTGTTAATTTATACATAATTGAACATTTACATGACATTCTGAAATAACTGTTCCCAGTTAAGGATACATTTGGTTTTAGCTGAGAAAGCTTATTAGATAAATGAAGTTCTCTAACAATGACAAGTCTACAACAAGGAAAAAACAGAAACATTTGAACAGATAAAAAAATTCTGGTAACTCACTACAGGGTATCTTGTAAGATAGAAATGGTGTTCTATGACTTCCTAAGTAATGCACTGGATAATGATATAAAAAACATTATTTTTCTCTGCATGCAATTTGTATAAATATGTTCAGAAAAAGCTTTAGCATCCAAAACAGTGGTGTGCGATTACTAAAATCAGGCACTAGCAGCATCGTTATTAGTGGATAACCTACCCAATCAAAAATCTGCTATTATACAGCTTATTTCAGAGACAGGTTTCAACCAAGAGATATGCTTGACAGACAGCATCCAGTATTGGTTCTGGAGCCCCAGACTGGTTGGTGTTCAAAGTTCTACAGTTTCAAGCCAGTATATGGCCTTGGATAGCACTGATAGCATCTTAAAATCAAACGAAACCATCTGTTTGTTGAGGGTGGAAAACCAACTGATCAATAGAGAAAACATGGAATTCCATAAGCTTACACTGTTGGTTGATCTACAGCCACTTCAAACAACAGATCTCAAACTTCAGATAGCCAACTGTAAAAATATTCGTACTAATAGAACAACCTGATGTATGATAAAACAACCCAATGTATTTAAATAAGAGAGAAAACTATGGAAAAACTGAAAGTTGACGCTACTTACTTGTACAGTAAATACATCATAGCTTCCACAGTGTTTACAGCAGTGGTGAAGTTTTCCTTCTGAGTGGGTTAGTTTAATTAACTTCAAGACTCTGCCAAGAGTCTATGAACAATAACGCCAGTTTTTGGCTCACCCCTACACCACACAGAGTAGCAACATGGCAGGCAGCCATCTGCTGTGGTGATTGTGGAAGTAATAAATGCCAAGATAAGCTCTGGAGCATCCATAATACAGATGGACATAAGCCACTCCAGAACAATAGAAGTATTAATCATATTACTTCAGCTACATAACACCCCTCAAGTTCAGTTGTTTAGAACTGCATTTTTCTCGGGCTTTTAACCAAAACTGCATTCTTCTGCCACCACACAGACAAACCAATGACAATGGAGAGTTCCGTGAGCTCATAACTAAAGAAAAATTTGCAACAGGAATATACAAGATTGAGCTTGACACAGCCACTTATTGGAAGAAAATGGGCTTGAATCCCTTCCATCACCATGCTGATGTGAGTAACCTTTTTTTTTTTCCCCTGCACTTTAGCTGCATATAAAAAAAAAAAACCAAACTTTTTATGCCTAGGCTTCCATTCATAGTATCACAGAATCATCCTAGTTGAAAGTGACCTTGAAGATCATTAAAAGACCAACCACAACCTAAATCCCCCTACCATAATCTAATTTACCTGTTCAGTGCTTAAATAATGTAGCTAAGTACTGTATCTATAATTCTTTTAAACAATGCCAAGGACTCCACCACGTCCCTCTGGGCAACCTGTTCCACTGTCCAACCACTCTTTCAGTAAAGAAATTCTTTCCAAAATCCAGTCTAAAACTCCCCTGGCACATCTTCAGGCCATTTCCTCTCATCCTGTCATTATTCACTTGAGAGAAGAGGCCAACTCCCACCTTCCTACAATCTCCTTTCAGGTAGTTGTAGAGAACAATGAAGTCTACCCTCAGTCTCCTCTTTTTCAAACTAAAAAATCCCAGCTCCCTCAGCCTCTCCTCACAAGGCTTATTCTCCAGACCTTTCATCAGCTTGGTAGCAAGTGTGTGTTGAACTTCCTTTTCCTCATCTTCTTGGAGAATAGATGACGAGCACCCAAGTTAAATTTTGTTTCTGCCTCACTGAAATGGATGACAGGTTGTATTCTTATTCAAGACAGTAATGGAGGTTAATGCTGGATTGTCTATGCCTTCTGTAGTAAGTGAAATAAAAAAGGCAAGATGAAAGATTTACAACATGCAAATACACTAATTATACATCAAGGTAACATCTAAAGTCTATATTCCAGACTAGAAATTAATTTAATCCAGAGTGCAAGAGTCTAGTTTCTTAACAATAAGCCTCTGTAGGGATCATGTTTTGTTCAGTTCATCAGTTGTTTCACATGCATCTTTTTTAATAACACTGAAAGCAGCCCAAATTACGCATCACAGAATGTTATTAGCCTTTATTTTAAAAGTTGACACACATTGTCGCACAACACAAAATAATCTACTACATAGAGGGAGAAATCAAAGGACAGGACATGAGCTGATGGGGAAGATGTTAAAAGGGCTGTTGTAAATCATTCATGTGTAAGGTTATTCTCACAGTGACCAAAGGACTAATGCAGTCCTCTATCTACTAGATATGTAAGCAGGATTAAAGAAATCCATTGCTTCATATTTTGACCTGATGATAGTTATGGTAGCACCATGTTTAACTCTGTTCCTTGAAGTTCAGGATTTCATAAAGACAACAAAAAAATTCAAATACTTGAAAGACGGCTTCTTTTTTTTTTTTCCTTTTTTTTTTTTTTTTTTAATGAAGACTCTCAATGGGGCGTGATGTAGATCTTGAGTAAGGAAATTATCTTGTTGCCATTTGAGAACCAATAAGGAAACCCCAATTTGTATAATAAATATTTATTTTATAAAATTTAAATCATGTGACATGAATGCTTCTTAGAAGGCTATTTAAAGTGGAAAAACTTTGACAGGCAGTCATGGATAACAGTGATGGATAAAGTATTTCCAAAGTTTTGTGGGAAGTTAGAGAAAATGAGCACAATGGTTCCATCTAGGCTTGTATCTAGAGATCACTTCTCATTTGCTTTTTATTTGTTTTGTTTTTCCAGGTGGTGTTCACAGCTAATGATGCTGGTTATCGACATTACTTCATTGCTGTTCTCCTCAGTCCCTATTCTTACTCAACTACAGCAGTAGTTAGTGAGCCAGTGGAATAGAAGCTGATATTAAGCAAGAAAATTTAGACATGTAAATTAAAATTTCCATAAATGATAAGAACTAGGTTTCTGACTGTATCAACAGCTTTAGATTTCACAGTGAATCACTAACAGTAAAAGTTGTTTATCCACTTCCTTAACTTTGGGAAGCATGTGTATTGTCTTTGTTTTCAAATACTCTTCTGAATAAAAGTACTCTGTATTCTGTAAGTACTGCTCTTCTAAATAAAAGTTTAGGATTTGAAAAAACACATTAGTCTTAGGAAAAAAAAATAATAATTGAAAATAATTACTGGGATTCTGATAATAAACCAAAGTATTCCATGAAGTCAATAAACTGCATTTCTTCTTGCACAGGAAACAAACCAAACAATCTGAAAAGTGTCTCACGAAAAGTAGGTACACAGGAAATGCAAGCCACCCCCCACCTCATCTTTATTTTATTGTTGAACTTCACAACAGATGAAGTCTCATTGGACTGCTACCCAGGGCCCCACATAACCATGAAATAAACTCACCCCCCAGTTCTGCTTTTTAACGTATAGAAGTAAAGGCAGCTTAAATGCAACAGAAATACAGAAAAACATTTAAGGAGGCTACACATTTAAAATGTCTTCTTTCCTGTCTTCCAATATATTATAACTCATAACACTTCCAAGGAGAGTCTGTATCTAGTGTTGCATAAAAGCCTATCCATCAAACAAATCTGAAGTTTATTTGTGTATTTTCATAAAGTATCTTTGATTCCAGTTGAAGTACTCCCAAAAATTACCTGCATACCTCCAGCCATTGGACACTTTTGTAATCAATGTAAGAAACACAGAAAAAAACATGATTAACAACTAACATTTCCTAAGAAAAACAGGTCCCTATTTAATGTCAGGAGCAATAAAAATTAATCCTTCTATTTCTCATTTGTAATGCATGTATAAGGAAGAATACTCCTAAACAGAATTAAGATTACAGAAGAGCCATTAGGAGATTCAACAGAACAGCAATCCTATCTTGAAAAAAGTATGCAAAATCATTGAGTCATTTAGCCTCATCAAATTAAAAGCTGGATGCATATAAATACCAATAAAGGGAAAACGATTCCTTAGCTTAATGCTTGATCCTATCACAGCCTAACCTGATGTATTTGCTGGCCAGGTGTGCCTTTTGTTACTTTTAGGAACTGTGCATTAGAAAAATACACGCTTTGGCTATAAACAAAACGCAAAGGATATTTCTCCAGAGAACCTCAGAATAAAAAAGCCAAAACAATTTTTAGAACATTATATTTCATAAAAGACAATGATAAAAAAGTACAAACATTTTCATTAACAAAAAAATCAAAACTATGACAGTACACAAGAAATTCCCAGCATTTGGTTCAGTGCATTTTTCATTAAGCCTATCTTACATACCTCTACAAATAAAATAATCTTAAGTACACTTTCTCTTGCTGATATGCAATGGATCCTTTTAATATTTTTAAGTAACTGGCTCATTAGTAACCCACTGCAACACAGTCATTAGTAAACATGATGGAAAAATACACTGGCAAGATCCCAGAAAAAGGACATTTTGCACCTGCTTTTCAATATACTGCCTATTGCAATATGAACTTTCTATCTTATATTCTGCTTAAATTTGAAATAACAGCAAATGGGCTTATGAGTATCTTAGCACATCAACCAGATTCCACTCTTATTATTTGTGTAATGTTTTTTACTTGTTAATTTGCAAGACCTTCAGAATCTTGTAAAATACTCCCTCTTTCTTCTCCGTCCATGTTCACTCATTGAAGAGAAAACATCCTTAATTTGCCTTGTCAGCAATGCAAAAGCCAACGTGATCAGCTTCTCTCTGTATTTTACAAGAATCATGAAAATATACAACGGAATGTGCACAATTCTTTGTTCTGCATCACATTTATTTTGTTTGAAGGCACTGTCTATGTTAAAATTCACTACAGAATAGTACTGAGTTCAAGCAGGTAGTATACAAACACTATTTTGACGAAATTTAAAGATGGCAACTTTTAAAACTTCCCAAAATGATAAAATGTATTTAGAAATGAGTGTTGGTGAATAACTCATACTTCAACATCCATCACTTTGCGGCACCAAAATGTAAACTTCTTAAGAACTCAGCTGTATGTCATAATCCATTCATATACTGGTTTAAATCAAAACTTTCTAAGACTACACATGATTAATCACCGAGAGCTGTAAAGTTGTATTAGTTCAGTCACAGCATATGTGTAATATAGTATGTATATGCACATACATATGCTTTAGAATTTTTTAAAACTGCACGTTAATTTCACAGAATGCCTAACAAATGGGCACAAAAGCATGCTTCAGAAAACAGTACAGACCTACGGTACCAAAGGATGTTTCGTAATGTTAAATTGCAGGTGAACTTGTACTGAAAACCAGAAATCACTTCAAAATTACATCAGGGATTTTAAAAATGTATTCAACAGTCCTTAAAGAATTGTCTTTGTCTATTATGAAATAAGGCTAATTTTATTTTGAAGATATAATTGTTCAGACAATGTACTAGCTATTTAGCCTTTATCCATATGCTTCAGAGTATTCTTTACACTGAGTTTTCGAAAAATATATCAAGAGGTGATCAAACCACTTAAGCATGCTTTTGAAGGATGTTTTGTTGACTTTTCACTCACTTCTTGTTATTGACATTGCATTACATCATTCTTAAAGTTTATTATATTAACTGGTAGATTTTAAGGTAATTCCAGTACAGTTTAAAGTATCTCTTACAATTGTTCTCAACTACTTAAATTAAATCATTATATATCTACTAAATATTTGGGATACCTACAACTAAGCTAACACCTTTACTGAAGAATGGCCAATGGCAAAATTTGCTGCTGGGTTGTCAAAGAAATAAAAGATATTTATGGCAAACAAACTCGTATATACAAAGCACCACACCATCTGTGGCAACACACATAGTAAGAAGTTAAAGTTAGTATTCTTTGTCAACACTCTTACAGAACATTCTATAGACAATCCTTATTATATTCTGCTTTCCATTCTTCATGGAAGCAGAAGTCAGTCTTTGGTTCCTAAAGAGTTGAGTAACTATGACAAACAAAACAGTCTAGTACGTCTTGGTCAGTATCTTTGCATTAACGTAGAAAACAAATGATCCAGTCCTTTTCCTTAGTATTAATAAAGGATGTAAAAAAATACTAGGAAAAAATAATAATGCTTAGCAGTAGGATACTTTTAGGTAGCATAACATTACAAGCAAACAGAAAATAAGAAGATACATTTTTCATTTCAAGCCAAGGAAACAGGCTAATTGCTCATACATGTAACACCACAAAAAACAGAGAAACAGACAGGACCAATCCTCAGTGGGACTGTGCAACCTCTATCTCATTGAAAGTCATAGACTTGAGGATTCTCAGTGCATCATAGAAGCACTCAGCACTCTACCAGAATAGGCCCTTAAGTAGCTATATTGTTTAATATATAATGAGTGGAGTTTTAAAAAGCACTTGGTATTGGCCTGCTTTCAGTTCCGCTTATGCCATCAGTCATCATCAGCGGAACAGTCGGACCAGCACCATGGTTCTGAAAATCTCACACTGCAAGCATTAGAACTATAAGAACTATGTTTTATTATTTTCTTAAAAATCTAACTTTAATATTCCTCCAACGAAGACACATTTTTGGCTCTTCTGATTTTGGAGGAAAAAAAAGTGCTGTTTACTGGGATTTTTTTTTTAAAATAACAATACGAAAATACTGTATGCACTCAGACACATTGTTTTAGGCATTAAAATCCCTGACATGGACACCAGTGGCACACCTGGAAACAGTTCAGAGTACCTGTAGATCATAATACGCAACAACTGCAAGATTTTTCCATAATACACATGCAATATGCATATAAATAGGATATAGATGGCAGGGTATAATACAATTTTGATGGCAATAAATAAAATTAAAAACTTTCTTTCTAGCAAGTTCATATACACAATTGGGTTTTGTATATTGGTATGCAGAAGGCCTAGAGCTCAAAACTAGTATAACAGTTTACAGTCATAGCTGGCCAACAATTAATTTTTCCTTCATTTCACATAAGGTATAACTTTTTTCTAAGCATACTTAGATTTTATACTTGTTCTTTCATGCTAATGAAAACATTCCTATAGAACTCAAAACAAGAACATGCTCAAATGCATACTGAAGCATAAAATATTGAGCAATTTAAAAGCAATATATACACACATTAATTTACATCACATATTTACAAAACACATTTTAAAATAAACAAAAGCATTCATTTAAATACAGAGTGGGAAGGGGAGGAGGGATAGTTTAGTATAAAAATATTCCTGGAGGAAGAGGCCTCTGTTCCGGCTTCCAGGGAAGCTACAAGTCTGTTTTCTGCAGTTTATTTAGTTGAGTCGTTAAGATAGAGAATGTGAAGAATGAAGGCTTGAACAGTAGTCTCATGCTGTAAACATCTGAGTGGTAGCTGCTGGCTTTTCTTTCAGAACAAAATGTGCACACAAACATTTTACTTCTCATCCCAAATATGCATCATCACATGGTCAAATATTTCTAATTCTAAGCTGCTGTTTGTTGGTTTTGTATTGTTTTAGTGTCTATTAGTAACTTCCAGTGTTAAAAGTTTATTCTGGTAGGGTAGCTTGTCATTCCACTTCTATCAATAATCTCTAACAGGAGCAAGTTCTGGTGTGAGATTAACAGTTATATTTTTATATAATCTACTGACAAGTATTTTAGGAGTATATATTAAATTGTTCAACCCATCAATATACTGACGTTCTCTGGAATACCTCAGAAGTTTATATCTGCAGAGGGAGTTGGAAGAAGAAAACATGAGAAAGATTTGCAAGAAACAACTGAATTGATGTTAGATACTGTAACAGTAATTTCATTCTGAAATCAGCTTCAAATTAAAAAACTAGTTCTCAGTCCTTTGAAACTACCAAATTACCTACCTGAGCTTTAAATGCAAGCCACTTCCTTTTTTTTAACACACTTGGATTTTATGTTCACATATACAAGTTAACATTAAGACTAAATAATAAAGAAAGAATTTAATATGTATACCTTTTCATGGTCCCAAACTAAACACATTTTAAACCAACATTAAATTTCTTCATGCATGTTTGCTACAAAATTCAACTACGGAGCTCAGAGAAGAGTTACAAAACTTCACTGATCATCATTTTACACTTAAATCTCAGAACAGCTTTCCATTTCATTTGTGAGACTCCTGCATTTGCAAACATCTAAATTTGAAGTGATTAAAAAAATAGTTCCCCTCCTCAAGATATATACATTTTAGATAAATACCACATATTTATGCATGTCTACTGTATGTGACTATAAATTATGAAGTAAGCAGAAATGAAAGATCTTCCCAGAAAGAGACACCCACTACAAACAGAACTGAGCAGTATTTCTATTTATCTGAAAACACATACCATACACCCTTTAATCTTGCATTTCACATTCTAATTTCTAGGTGTAGCCCATCTGCTGTTATCTGGTTATTATTCCAATCTAGGGCAGCCAGAACCTACTGGCCACTTATTGTTTTTCATCTTCACAGAAAAAGAAAGGAACCCCAAAATAAAGAGTTTACATGAATGTAAGCGGGAAATAAGAATACTTGTATCTCAGGAAAGAATGAAACATGAAGGAAGAAACCATCATGGTGGAGTTTAGTATTTTACAAGGATGAAGCAGGGTAATAAGTAGGATTACAGCTCTGAACTTCCAGAGGGCTAATTTTGGACTCTTCAAAGATCTACTTGCATGAATGCAATGGGCAAAGATTCTGGAAGGAAAGGCAGCCCAGGAAAGCTGGTCAATTTTTAAATACCACTTCCTCCAAGCTCAAGATAGGTGCATTCCTTCGAATAAAAGGATACGTAGGAAGGCAACAAGAAAGGCCAAAGCCCTCAGAGAACTTAAACTGGCAAAGGACGTAAAAGAGAACAAAAAGAGCTTCTTCAAAAACAGCAATACTAGAAGTAATAATAGAGAAAATGTGGGCCCACTTCTGAATGAGGTGGGAGCCCTGGTAACAGAGGATGCAGAGAAGGCAGAGTTGCTGAGTGTCTTGTTTCAGTCTTCACTAAGACCAGACCTTATGAACTTCAGATCCTGGATATAGCAGAGGAAGCCTGGAGAAAGGAAGACTCTCCACTAGTCAATGAAGAGTGGGTCAGAGATCACTTATGTACATTGAATGTACACAAGACCATGGGACCTGATGAGATGCACCCAAGATTGTTGAGAGAGGAGGCTGATTTTATTGCCCTACCACTCGATCATTTTTGAAAGATCACAGCAAACAGGAGAGGTGCCTGAGGACTAGAGGAAGGCCAACGTCACTCCTGTCTTCAAAAAAGGCAAGAAATATTACAGACCAGTCAGCCTTACCTCCATTCCTAGAAATACGATGGAGTGGCTCATTTTGGAGGTCATCTCGAAGCACATGGAAGAGAAGGTTATCAGGAGTAATCAGCATGGATTTACCAAGGGGAAATCATGCTTGACTAATTTGATAGCCTTCTGTGATGTTGTGACTAAATGGTTAGATGCAGGAAGACCAATGGATGTAGTCTATCTTGACCTTAGCAAGGCTTCTGACACAGTCTCACATAACATCCTCGTGAGCAAGCTCAGGATATGTGAGATAAAAGAATGGATAGTGAGATGGATTAAGAACCGGCTACGCAATAAGCCCAAAGAGTGGTGATCAGTGGTGCAGAGTGCAGTTGGAGACCTGCAACTAGTGGAGTCCCTCAAGGATCAGTGCTGGCTCCAGTCCTGTTCAACATCTGTATCAATGAGCTTGATGATGGGACAGACTGTCTTCTCAGCAAGTTTGCTGATGACACGAAGCTGGGAGGTTTGGCTGATTCACCTGAAGGCTGTGCAGCCATTCAGGGAGATTTGGACAGGCTGGAGAGCTGGGCAAAGAGGAATATAATGAGGTTCAACAAGAGCAAAGGCAGAGTCCTGCACCTGGGAAGGAACAACAAAATGCACCAGTACAGGTTAGCAGTTGATCTGCTGGAGAGCAGCTCTGTGGAGAAGGACCTTGGGAGTCCTGGTAGACAACAAGTTAACCATGGGACAACAATGTGCCCTTGTGGCCAAGAAGGCCAATGGTACCTTGGGGTACATTAAGTGGAGTGTCTCCAGCAGTTCGAGGGAGGTTCTCCTCCCCCTCTACTTGGCCATGGTGAGACCTCACTTGGAGTCTTGTGTCCAGTTCTGGGCTCCCCAGTTCAAGAGGGACAGGGATCTACTTGAGAGAGTCCAACTGAGGGCTACAAGGATGATTAAGGGACTGAAACACCTGCCTTACGAGGAAAGGCTGAGAGACCTGAGGCTTTTCTGTCTAAAGAGGAGACTGAGGGGGGATTAATGTCTATCAATAGATGAGGGCTGGGCATCAAGAGGACAGGGAGAAGCTCTTTTCACTTGTGCCCTGTGATAGGACGAGGGGCAATGGATTCAAACTCGAGCACAGGAAGTTCCACCTCAACATGAGGAGGAATTTCTTTGCTGTGAGGGTTACAGAGCACTGGAACAAGCTTCCCAGAGAGGCTGTGGAGACTCCTTCTCTGGAGACTTTCAGGACCTGTCTGGATGCCTTTCTGAGTGATCTTGCCCTAGTTGGTGTTTTGGGTTTTTTTGGTCTTGCTCTGGAAGGGGAGTTGGACTCAATGATCTTTGGAGGTCCCTTCCAACCCCTAATATTCTGTGATTCTGTGAAACCAATCCTTGAGGATTTTACAGTCTGTTTCACCCTGGAGTCATTTTCCCTAGCTGTACTACTTCCTTTTGCAGAATATCCAAATTAAACCAACTAATGGAGCTCTGCCAGCACTAATGCCCAAACTATTAAGGAACAAAAACTTTCCGCATCAAAAATTATGACAATAACATCTTCTGACAAACAAACTCCGTCTCTCTCACAATCAAATAAGGAATATTTGAACAACAAACATAATGGGTATAAAAAAATATAAAGTTTAGCAGTGAAGAGGGAGTAACACTGATAAGTACTGAGTAAGCATGTGAAGAAGATCATATGTGTGTAAGAAAAAAGTTTACATCTTTAGCTCTAATATTTGAAGAGTTCTCTGTTTTTCTTACCGTCCTAAAAACTGAACTTCACCTCTGTGATGATGCGGAATGGACTTGTACTTCCCCAAATCTCCCTCTGGTCTTGTTACATTGTATCCAGCATAGTGAACCCTGCCATGTAATACATAAATATTTGTAATAAGAGTATTAAAAAGATGTTTTACAAGTCACAGCAAAAGTGAAAAATACATATAAAATCTTTTAAAGCTAAGTCTTTGGATTCAATTATGTTTTCTCCCTAAAAAAACCAAAACACTCCTAGCCAACATCTAAAAAAGCTGGCAGAACGAATTGAGAAATAATAATTAATATTTAGTATTTTCTGCTTTGTTCTCAAAGCACAACAGAGTAAAAATACAAAAATAGTAAGAAAAAATAATAAAAACACAAACTCTTCCTTTGTAATAAATCTCATATAAACTCATGTAAACACTGTCTCAACAGCTCTAACTGAATAACTTGCTTAATGTGAGCAGTTATTAGTACAGTGACCGTTGTACTCATTGTCCAATTTGCAAATACCAATATTGTCACAAATTAAGCCCTCTCTCAAACATTGCTCCTAAAATATGAGAGATACTTAAACTCATGTTTACTCTACACATCTGTGGGATGGTATTCTATAATGGTAGCAGCAAGAAGAGATGTAAACTAAAATAAAAGAGCTATGCACAGAAGACTTGGAGGAATGAGACTAAACACGCTTAATTTTGTTATCTGCCGCTATTTGTTACAAGACTTACCTCTTAAGAGCCTGTAAACTCTCCTGCCCCCCTCTCCTCCCCTGGCCATGAAAAAAAGAACACCATACTTATCTCTTCAAATGGCACATTCTGATACTTCTGCAGTGAACTCTCTAAAAATGTGAGAATTTGTTCATTCAAAACAAATGAAATAAGGTATTAACTGATAGGAAAAACACTTAACTGCTCTCAAAGAGTGGATCCCACAGAACAATGAGAAAGACATAAGCACTTAACATTACCTGTTCCAAAGATCATCATCTTCTCCACCCCATCCCCAAAAGGCATTTGGAAACCCATTGATCTTCTTGAATTGTTCCACTGTCAGGCCACTTACACCACCAAAGAACTCATTGTATGGAAGACTGAAAAAAAGAGACATATCGTGTATTATTAGCTGAATTTAGATAGGTAGCCCTCTCTTTGAAGAGCACCTTTCAAAAAATCAAGAGCTCCAAACTAAGGACATGAACAGGTGCTCAATGTATTCACTAAGGGAAACTGATTGCAATGGCATTAAGTAACAGCTATGGAAGTTAAACAAAACATTTGCAGTAGTGTCTGAGTTGCATAAAGAGTACTCTTAAATTGTGTAGCTCAAATTGGTATCACCACATGAAACAAAATCTATCAAAATCTATCTAGAATTTCTCAGGAGATTCTCCCAAATCTGGAACCTTCAAGGAATTTGAACTGTGTACAAGATTTACTATTCCTTAGGACACAAATGCCACATTGAAGGACAATTAACTCCAGAATGCAAGGAGAAAGAAAGAAATACAGTTATGCAATTTCTGATCTCTGTGGAAAAACAGGATTTAACCAAATTTTAGTAGCTTTTGGGGAAGACTGTTACTAGATATTCCTTTCAACATTTAACTGAAATAGCAGGTGATCTAAAAGCTCAAAAAGCCCTAAACACTTGCCCAAAAAAAACCACAACAAAAGCCCAACAACTTAAAACCAACCACCAACCAAAAATAAAAACAGCTGCAGTATGGCAGCTAACGGAAGTGTTTGATGTTTTAACTCATATGTATGTATGTGTGTGGTGCATGTGCTATTTTTTTTATATAAGCATATATCTATTTTTAAGGTTTATAAATAGGCATTTACATATACATTTATTTTATACACTTATATTTTTTAAAAAAATATTTCTGTGTCTTTAAAAACAAGAGCAATAAAGGTAATTACTTACATGTACATGTACTTGTCCAGCTTTGCTGCAAAATGGCGTGGCATTTCTCCGCATCCGTAATAATTTCGGTCATTTTCAGGTAAGTGATCCACATCATGAAATATTATGCAATCCCAAACAGCATCCTTCATAGCCTCTTTGAAGCCAACATTAAAGAGCATAGCACGATTAAAAGGTTGTGTTCCTGTCTTCAAAAAGAAAACAAAGCAAGCATTGGAAAAATGGAGAAAAAAATTCAATACTACGAGTATTACAGCCTCTACCCCAGAAAAAAACCAAAAGTATCAACAAAGATGCCAGTTATTCCTCTAGCTAAGCAGAGCAATATATTGACTGTATTTGTGATTTAAAACTTCTAGATGTTCTCCCCTCTTACACAAAGCAGCCCTAGCAACTTACAGCACAAGTAACTCTGAGGTATACAGGTGGTTTGTATTAATATAGCTTGACATTATGAGTTAAAGAAATACTGATACAAATTAAAGAAACATGTTTTGTTATTTCTTAAATGAGTCAACTAGAATAGAACAGTGCAGAACAGAACAGATTAGACAATTTCAGCTGGAAGGGACCTACAACAGCCATCTAGTTCAACTGCCTAACCACTTCAGGGCTGACCAAAAGTTAAAGCATATTAAGGGAATTCAACTACCTTTCCAGGAAGCCTGTTCCAATGTTTGACCATCCTCTTGGTAAAGAAATGCTTCCTAGTGTCCAGTCTAAACCTCCCCTGGTGCAGCTTTGAACCATTCCCATTCATCCCATCACTCAATCCCAGGAGAAGAGCTCAGCACCTCACTCTCCACTTCCCCTCCTCAAGAACTGTAGAGAGCAATGAAGTCACCCTTCATCCTTCATTTCTCCAAACTAGACAAATCCAACGTCTTTATCATCTCTTCACAGGACATGACTTCCAGCCCTTGCACCAGCTTTGGTGCCCTCGTCACCAGCTTTGGTGCCCTCGTCTGGATGCATTCAAGTACCTTCACATCCTTTCCTAAACGATGGGTCCCATAACCCTCTTTTGACTGGTTGGTCATGCTGTGTTTGGTGTGCCCCAGGGTGTGGCTCGCCCTGCTAGCTGCCAGGGCACACTGCTGGCTCCTACTGAGCCAGCAGCTGACCAGCACACCCAGAGCCCTTCGTGCAGGGCTGTTCTCCAGCGACTCCTCTACTAATTCATACTCGTGTCTGGATTTACTCCACTGTATGGAATCTGGCATTTCACTTTTTAATTTTCACCCCATTAATTGGAGCCCAATGCTCCAATCTATCTGAGCAAGACTTGAGAGAGCCAAAAGCACCTCCCAGTTTGGTATCATCATCATCAGACTTGCTAATGACGCTTTGAACTCCTGGATCCACATCACTGATAACTATATTGAACAGCACTGGCCCTAGAACTGACCCCTGAGGAACACAGATGCCTCATTTTTTTGTTCTTAAAAACTTAAATGCCATAGTTCCAGAGGCTGTGTTATCACCTACAAAATATCAGCCCATATTTGAAGAAAAGCAACAAGCATCTGGGCACTGCTTAAACTGGAGAATTAAGCTGAAGTTTCCTTTTTCATTCAAAGGATTAGAACAACAGAGCAGTAAGTTTTAAATTCTGGATTAATTTAGATCTTGATAACAATATCAAATCCTCTTTAGTAAGGAATCTTGAAGAGTTATTTTTCAAGTAAATGCTGTTACCTGTTCAACAACATAGAAGGCAAATTCCAGACGCTGCTTCTGCAACATAGGAATCAGATGACGGAAAAAAATTGGAAGATGCTCCTGGCGATTCCGAAAAGGAATAAGGATTGCCACCTTAAAAAGATTATATATATATATATATAAACCTATTATACTACCACTTATAAATTTTAATGTTTCAATACAGATCAAGTTTCCCATGGCTTACACAGGCTTTTCAACTTTTACATTTAAATTTGCTCAGTGTTTTACACTTCCA